TGAACTAGGACCGCAGAAACCCTGGTATTTACTTGTGCAAATACCTCATTGATTTAGTGACTCTCTTACATCCCACAGGTTTATGATTAATTAAATTACAAACACTGTCAATGAGATGTTACACCACTGACCGTCTTTAAAGGGGTCATATGATGTTGCTAAAAAGAACATTATTTAGTGTATTTGGTGTAATGAAATGTGTTTATGCGGTTTAAGGTTCAAAAAACACATTATTTTCCACATACTGTACATTATTGTTTCTCCTCTATGCCCCGCCTTTCTGAAACGCGTCGATTTTTAAAAAACTCATCGGTCTGAAAAGCAAGGTGTGCTGTGATTGGCCAACTATCCAGTGCGTTGTGATTGGCCGAATACCTAGACATATTATTGGAGTGAAAACTGCTATTTATATGCATTCAAAGTAAATAGTGTGCTTTACTGTTATAAAGATCACATTGACTTAGATTACAAGCTCTCAGAATTTCTCTTTTTTGGCCATATAAATATTAGCTACTGCATCAAATTACATATGTTTGCTCAGTTTGGGATTCTGAATAAAACTCTCTGTGAGCTTCATATTCTCCATTATCATGCTATGAGTCATAAAAGCCTGATCTATCAAATATGATACTCAACAAAAAACACATATGCATCATTCATTCATCCATTCATTCAGATTTTTATATATTGTGTCTAAAGGTTCATTACTACTAGATAGCATCCTGTTCAGTCCCCTTAATTGAGAAGCAGTGTTTCCCAAGCCACCTACTTTAATAGGGTAGCTAAAATTTTTTGAGATCCTAACCTCAGGCATCCCTGCATGTAAAATGCATGAATTTGCTTAGCTAATATCTCTGGCAAACTGTGGAGACATATCTGCTGCTATGAAATATGCACCGGTGTTTAGTTATTCAGCCAGCCCATGGGAACTGAGGAATGAAAACTTCAGGACAGAGAACAGAGCTGAAACTAGTCAAGAGACAGGTGGAGCTGGACACTTTTAAAAGAATAACTGACCCCAAAATAATTCAATGTCGACAACACTTTAGATTAAGGAACACTATTCACTATTAACAAGTTACTTATTAGCATGCATATTACTAACATACTGGCTGTTTATCAGTACTTATAAAGTAAATATTATATTCTGCATGACCATATTCTAGATCTCTTAACCCTACCCCGCCCATACCTGAATACCTATGTACTACAACAAATACCTTACTTACTATCAATAAGCAACAAATTAGGAGGTTATTGAAGGGAAAACTATTTATGATGATTTTTCCCTCAATAAAAATGTTAGTGTGTTCCCTAATCTACAGTGTTACCATCTCAAAGTTGTCCTTGTTTCATGTATTTACTATAGCAATAACTGTAAATTTTGCGTAATTAGAAGCAACCTACATTAACATCAAACTCTAAACCTATACACGTTGTTAATTTATATAACGCAGAACTTATTTCTGTAATTACACTGTAACAAATGACACATTACAATAACCTAAATGCTTTTTCCCTTTTGAACACACACACACACACACACACACACACACACACAAAGATATTTTGAAGAATGCTGGTAACCGAACTGTTTTGGTGACCATTGACTTCCACTGTAGCCTATGGACAAAACAAACACTGAGCACTTTCTCAAAATATCTTCTTTTATGTTACACATAAGACAAACAACAACAGCAAGAAAAAAACACCTTTAACATAAATTAACATAACGTTTGATAGAATTCAAGGATCTACTCGGAATCAATACATTACTGTAAATTAATATTAGGTTATTTTAGGAGCAAATGCCATGTGCAAATCTGTTCTAATTGATGTTCTGTGAACATTGAATCCACAGTATTAATAAAGATGCATTTCTTAATAAAAAATGTGGAAAATCAACAAACCCAGAAAGGACATATGCCATCTTTTGCTGTCTGTCTGTAACTGAACCATAGTTTTTCCAGGGTAACGCTTCGTCATTTTCAAAGTTAACATAAAAAGGCCCAGATAAACACACCAACACCATATTTGAATGAAAAGATCACATTTAATTAGCATGAGCTTGCTGGCAAGAGGTGTTTCCCAAAGTATGGGAGAAAATCTGACAGCGGAGGCATTTACAGCTTCATAGACTGACATGTATAAACTGAAAGCCTTAGGACTTAATTACAGAGTAGTTCGTATTAAATGTTACAGCCCCACAAGACTGATTTGACTCATACATTCTGAAAAAAGTCCACGCGCAGGCTTGAGCAACCCATCTATATGGCTTTATGTTCATTTTGTGTAATATCAAAAGAGAGTTGAAAATGCCCCTTCTTGTGTCACAGACCCTAAGATTCAGTAGCTCTTATTAAAAAGGCTTAAAAGTACTGTGGCACTTCAGATTGATGCTTCATGTGCTCCAAAAAAACATTCAAGAAAAATCACTGATTGTTCAGATTCAGATCTTTAGACAGGTTTGATCTGTATACCAAATACTGTGTTTTTGACAAACCAATATTAAAGTCAACATGAAATACTGTTCATAACCCCTTTTACTTCACTTTTAAAACCTGATATGTTTCGGAGTAAAACAAAATTCAACAAGAAAAAAAAATGGGTAGACCTGGGTTACACCAGCTGTTCGTAAGTTCTTACTTAAATTGTAACCACACTAAATCCTTAGTAACTACTACTGGTTAGTTTGTAAATAAATCTGTGCTTGATTTTTGTTGCACCATTTGTTCCTAAGGCAGAGCAGCTGTTGTAAGCACATGCGTAAAGTAATGCGTAGTCATGTAATGTGGCGTTTATCTTCAATGATCTAATAGCAGCCTTCAGATTTGTGAGCAGAAGTTGTTGAAATGCCATGATTTTTTTCTAGTTAGTTGTTAGTTTTCTAGTTAGATTTTTTCTAGATAGAAGTTGATTCTATCTTCTTGTGCCTCACATCAAATGGTAAAAATTCGTTTCTATTAAAATATGATATTTAATGATGAAATAACATTGCAATTAACAAGAAGCAATAAATAAAAACTTTTAGAAAAAAAAAAAAGAAACAATTATTATGATTGATTTTATTTGCCATGCACAACATGGAGCGATGCACACAGACGTACACTGTTTAGATCAGGTTTGTAAACAATATTTTCTATATAATATTCTCTCAAAATGTAAACCATCATATTAGGGGTGTGCGATATTTATCATCTATGATAATATCGTAATTGTTGTTTTAATGACGTGCGAGCTGACATTATCTATGTCACTAACATCGCAAAAACAACCCAAAACATGTATTTTTCTAAGATATGATGTAGTTAAGTAATATCACACAAGCAAGAGTACCATTTTCCCGAATATTGGCAAGAGCAAGTGAGCGTAATCGCAAATGTGATATTGATTTTATACAACGGTTCAACAAACAAGAAGTTAATATTGGGTTACATTTGATTGGGTTACATGAGTTACATTTTAGACACAATATTATCTGGGTTTTTTTCTGTTTCGCCAACAGAAATAGTTCCAAACAAAGCCAGATCAGAACAATTGTTTCCTGAATGAATGAATCTGTTTTTGAATGAGTCAATGATCCAATGATCCGTTCATAAAGACAAGGGGCTGCGTCTGAAATCGCATACTCTCTTGAGTAGGTACTTTTTTGAATGAGTAATTACTTTGCAACCGCAAAAAGAGAACGTTCTATATAGTATGAATGTGTGTTGTATGAATGCAATCAATACCGCATTCGGCCTGTTGTTATTGTCACGTGACATACTAGCGTCAGTTGCATCACGTCACTGTGATGAATATAAATCCTCTCCCGTGGCCTCATGGGATAATGAACGGTCCACTGGATGCACACTTCAGAATCACACCAGAAGTAGTAGGTCATCCGGGTACTTTTTGCCTACTCTTTTATGAGTGCTGTGAATTCGGACATACTTCTTTTGACAAGTTCGCACTTACATATATTCGGATTACGCAAATAGTACGCATATTTGGCGTGCTGTCCTGAGGGAGGGCTCCAAGCCTGGAATATAGCCCAAACCCAGAGAACCCCCCCCATCCCATCCCATCCCATCCCATCCCTAGTCTGGGATGAGAATAGTTAAGAGTGAAGAGTTTGGGTGGAGGAGGGATGCCGGAAAACCGGAGGTGAGTTGGCTGTATAAATATATATACATATCGTACTAGTTAAGTTGATTATCTAGACGAGCTCCACCTGTGCTGAACTGACTGATTATCTGAACGTGCTCCTCCCGAACCTTGTTAATAAAACATCAATTGTCACACACTATTTTGTTTTTCGCCTATACTATATAGTAGGGAAGTATGCGATTTCGGATGCAGCCAGTCACATGCTTAGCTTCTAAATGAATCAGCCGTTTTGAACACATCATTTGAATGAATGATTCAATGAATCACTCATTAAGACAGGGATTGACTGGCGGTTTTAGTGTCATATTTATCCATGATAGGCCTAAACCAGCCAAGGTGCTAGCACAAAAACACACTCAGCCAAATATTGCTAAATTATCATTAAAATGATCCTAAAAAATATTGCTCACCTCTACATCATGTATGTCTAAAGAATTGAAGTTTGTCAGGTAAAACATGACCTTATTGATGCAATTCAATCATTCTGCTCTTTCATTCCAACAGTTACTTCTGTTTGGAGGCTTAGTTAGTAAATATGTAATTTATACGTAGAGTTGGTGCAATTCAAAAATATTTAATAGTGCCTAAGTTGTAACTTAATGCACTTTAACATCAAAATTAGGCAATGTAACTTGCGCACAGCTGGTGCAACCTGCCCCTGATTTCATCCATTGGAAATTGCCTGGATTGGCCATCCATCTGATGACAAAAAGGAAAGTTGTGCAGTGGCAGAGCAAATAAATCCATTTTGGTGAATTATTTTTTTGGAAAAACGTGCACAATATGGAAGAACTACTTTTATGAACATGCATTAAGAAAATAAATCAGACTTTAACCTGGCCAAAATCTTGTGTGTAGTTGCACTTGCACAAACACTGAGCGCAAAAAAAAAAAAAAAAGTGGTGGCGGCACGTTCACATGAAAATGCAGAAAAGTGATCAAGACAGTTTACACAAACGATGATCTTCCCAACGAAATGGAAACACGACTTTTAAAAGTGCAGGAGTGGAACACATTGCTGGTGAGTCCTGTATCGTGACCATTGGGTGTTTTCCCAAAAAGCTGATCCCAAAATTAACCAGTCTTTATCCGACCGTGAGAGTGGTTTTGGGCATGGGAAGGCTACAAGTGATTGTTTTTGGAGAGGTATGCGATAAGGGCCACAGCCACACCCACGTAGATGCCAGTCCCGATGGTGATGGACAGTACGGCGAGGAAGAGCGCACGTCTGGAGCTGGAGCTGGCGTGGTGAAAGTCTCCTTTAGTCACCGCTTTGTTAGTCTGCGTGAGAGAGGGAGAACAAAGACAGAAATAGCACATGTTTTGAAAACGTTTGGAGTGTGAACGAGCTATGATCGCATAAGAGAGATGCAGAGAGAAAGAAAACAGAGAAATTATCAATTGGCTGCTCTCCAGCAGCTGACTGACAGATCTGGTAAAGTGCATAAATAATAAGTGCTGCATGACTCAGAGCTCTCCTGCGGGGACTCGCAGCCTTTGAAGTCCAGGAAATGTTGCCAAGATTAAGAACAGATATTTCTGATGAATTCATTTACATCTCAGCACGTAGATGCCAGTCCCGATGGTGATGGACAGTACGGCGAGGAAGAGCGCACGTCTGGAGCTGGAGCTGGCGTGGTGAAAGTCTCCTTTAGTCACCGCTTTGTTAGTCTGCGTGAGAGAGGGAGAACAAAGACAGAAATAGCACATGTTTTGAAAACGTTTGGAGTGTGAACGAGCTATGATCGCATAAGAGAGATGCAGAGAGAAAGAAAACAGAGAAATTATCAATTGGCTGCTCTCCAGCAGCTGACTGACAGATCTGGTAAAGTGCATAAATAAGTGCTGCATGACTCAGAGCTCTCCTGCGGGGACCCGCAGCCTTTGAAGTCCAGGAAATGTTGCCAAGATTAAGAACAGATATTTCTGATGAATTCATTTACATCTCAGCACCCCGCTGCCTCGCTGTTTTCCTTCCCTGCTCGCTTACAGATGCTCCTTTCTGACCGCTATGAGATATTTTGCCATCTATTATCTTGATTTATTACATAATGGTGATAATTGCTTAGGGAGAAAAGCTGGACTGTCTGTCTGTAGGCTTGTGTCTTTCATCTTTGCCAACATCCATCAAACGGGTCGGCCCACAATAACCTGATAATGCTAATCGGGTCATATTGAAATTGCCGTCACATTTAACAGCCGATCATAATTCAACTACTTCTGCCCGACTGCATTACGAGGTAGGAACAAAACAAAATGATTCTAGTCATGCTCAACCTAGATTTCCCTCAAATGTGCATTTCTTTTCATCTGGATGATTTCAGACTAGTGTGCGTCAGACTTAACTTCTTGAGCAATATGAGCTACAGTAGCTCGTCTGTTGGATCAGACCACACAGGCCATGCCTTCGCTCCCCACGTGCATCATTGAGCCTTGGCCGCCCATGACCTTGTCGCCGGTTCACCACTGTTCCTTCCTTGGACCACTTTTGATAGATACTGACCACTGCAGACTGGGAACACCCCACAAGTCATCTAGCCATCACAATTTGGCCCTTGTCAAACTCGCTTTGACAATTTTTCAACTTAAAGGACAAACTATTCACTTCACCTGTCAGTGGTCATAATGTTATGCCTGATCAGTGTATATCTAGATACAAAAATATTTTATTATGTTGTGTTTTCATATTGGCAAATAAAAATGAGGAAATATCATTTTTCCTTGTTTAATTGCTACACAAAGTTTCATTGTCTTAGTTCACCACTGTTCCTTCCTTGGACCACTTTTGATAGATACTGACCGCTGCAGACTGGGAACACCCCACAAGTCATCTAGCCATCAAAATTTGGCCCTTGTCAAACTCGCTTTGACAATTTTTCAACTTAAAGGACAAACTATTCACTTCACCTGTCAGTGGTCATAATGTTATGCCTGATCAGTGTATATCTAGATACAAAAATATTTTATTATGTTGTGTTTTCATATTGGCACATAAAAATGAGGAAATATCACTTTTCCTTGTTTAATTGCTACACAAAGTTTCATTGTCTTAGTTCTCACATTAAATAGCACCTCTCTGTGCCATTTTAGAACAGATACATATACACTACCATTCAAAAGTTTCTAATGTTCTTGAAAGAGGTCTCCTATGCTCACCAAGGCTGCATTTATTTGCTGAAAAATGCAGTAAAAACAGCAATATTTTGAAATATTATTACAATTTGAAATGGCAATTTTCTATTTGAACATATTTTAAAATGTAATTTATTGCTTTGATGCAAAGCTGAATTGTAAGTAGGGATGCACCGATACCACTTTTTCCAGTACTCGCCCGATACCGATACTTTTGTTTTTGGTACTTGCCGATACCAAGTACCGATACCGATATTTTTTTTGCATTTGTACATTTTTTAAATATTGGGTACAGAAACCAAAAGGGTATGTATAATGTTAGTTGGTTAACTTCATTTATGTTTTTGTGGAAACCGTGATACATTTTTTTCAAGATGTAAAAGTCTTTTCTGTCACTTTTGATCAGTTTAATGCATCCTTGCTGAACAAAAGTATCAGTTACTTAAAAAAAATACATTACTGACACTGACATTCTTAACTTTTTATCGGTAGTGTAAATATCAAAAATAAATGCAGAAAGGTGATCAGATATTTACACAAATTATGATTTTCCAAATCATATGGGAATGTGACTTGTGCATGTCCTATTTCCTATAACATGCAGTAATGCACAAGGAACATGCATTAAGAAAGTAAATGGTCGGTTTTTCATGTCAGGCCAAGGCCATGTTTTTGAGCTGATACAGTAAAAGAAGAAGATAAAGTGAGAGGACAGTAGGTCTACTGGACAGGAACTGAGATACTGTTCTCAGGGCTGTTTACACAGAATTCACAGGCATAATGAGCTCAAGAGACAGTTTCTAGTGTCTGGAAGATCCACTAGTTTCTTGCGAAAGTGGTCATTGACAGGGCAGCTGTATAATGTATGCGCTCTGCCTACTTCTGGGTCTCTTGAGATTACTGCAAGATGTCAGCACTCCCCACAGCGTGGCAACATGCTGCAGTCAGGCATGGGAGTATATTAATGGCATGGAAATAACACAATGGTCAAAGAAAGAAATTAAAATAAGAGGTTTAATTGGTGAGAAACTGCACTTTTCTGAGCTTAAGATCTGTAAACCCTCCCTTCCATAAGCCTACTCTGCTCTGATTGGTCAGCTGGCCAAGTCTGTTGTGATTGGTCTTTCCGTATACAATGCGTGTCAGAAACGAAAAGCCCATTACCATAATTAATTTTTTGCTCCGGAGGGTTACTTGTAAAAAAGATGCTATAAGGTTACAAAAATGGCATCGATATTACCTTATCAATTCGAGCCCGAGTTCGAGGACCGATGCAGTCGCTCAACCGGAAACTCCATCGCAAGCACGACTTGATCAGGACGTTTCTCAGTGGTAAGGTTAAACTCTGTATGTGGTACTTTACGGGATGTGACAGTTTTATTGCATTCATTATTAGTATTTACTTATTTGAGGTGCACGTGTGGGAACTGTGTTAGACATGATGTAAACACACTAACTAGCGGAAGTGTTTGTGGGCAGGTCAGAGTGTTCGTATTTTGCGGGGATTATGCAAATGTGTTACCTTGTGACGTATATAGGTAACAGGCAGAAGATTCGAAAGCAGACTGTTTACACTGAAGGATAGCTACATAACAAACTGCAAAAGAGATATTTTTCGACAACGCATATGACCTGCTCTTTAAACCATCACTTCCAAGTCCATAATAGATAATAATGCTTCCTCCAGTCAAAAAAAAACAAACATCCGCTGCTGTCCTTTCACATCAAAATTCACTCACATATTAGTTTAGAACTGTTTTGGACTGTTTTTGCTTGCAAACAGTGCTTGATTTGTGCATATTTCTCTCCTGATTCAGATGAGACAATTTTTTCACTGGAGAAAGCAATATTACGGATAGAAGATTTTAACCTGAAGCAATGGTTCAAAAGTAAAAAATGTCTCAATGATGGATTTGTTTCTTACAAACACGCAGCATTTCACTTCACAAGATGTTAACTGATGGACTGGAGTGGTGTGGATTACTTGTGGATTATTGTGATGTTTTTATCAACTGTTTGGACTCTCATTCTGACGGCACCCATTCACTGCAGAGCATCCATTGCTGAGCAAGTGATGTAATACTACATTTCTCCAAATCTGATGAAGAAACAAACTCATCTACATCTTAGATGGCCTGAAGATGAGTACATTTTTAGCAAATTTTCATTTTGGGGTGAACAATTTCTTTAAGTTGAGAAAAGAATTCATGGTTCAATTTCATTTACAGTTAGTGCACAACAAGGGCCTTGTGATGTATAAATCATAAGCTGTTATGTCATGTTCAGCAGGGGTGAGCACACTTTATTTCTGCTTTTACTCATCCAGAATTCACTAAATCCATCACAGAAGACTTTATCTAATAAAACTGTCACTGACATTATTATAATGCATTGTTGGAAAAGCAAATAGTCCATTGGCAAGCTCTGAGCCCTCATTGGTACACATGAGGGTCTTGTGCAGATGCTTTCCCTTGGGCTCGCTATACAAACCGAGTTAACATTATTTTTGTAATGCTTGCTGTCAGGGCATAAATTTTAGCCCTGCAGTCCAAGAAGCAAAGCAGTATGTTGTTATCTTCACTTAGGTTATTCATTTGTTTTCCTGACATATATCTTAAATGTTATTAGGCCCCTGGAAATGTCACACAGGTCACCAGCACAGCCACTTTTACTCTTTGCCTTTCAGACCATCCGTTGTTTTAGACCAGTGAGGTAAATGTGAAACTATGTTAGAGTCAATCTGAGCAAGGAAATCAAAATACACCAAAACACTAATGAATGCATGTACTAGTGAGCTGCAATGATGGTATTGTGGCATAATGTTAACTACCACAGCAAGGCATTAAGACTGTTTTTTACAATAATGCACTTGCAATGGAAGTAAACCAGGCCAGTTTTCAAGAGGGTTTAAAAACAGAAATGTCAGGCTTGTATTTCTGTTAAAACACAAATATAAATTATTCAGTAAATATATAATTTAAAAAAAACATTAAAATTGAAGCGGAATCTATCTATCTATCTGTCTGTCTGTCTGTCTGTCTGTCTCAGTCTGTCTGTATCTATCTAAATTCAAATTCAAATTCAAATGAGCTTTATTGGCATGACTTGCACAGTATTGCCAAAGCATTGTCCATTACATGAATGAAGGAATAAACGATTATATATATAATAAACAAAACAAGAAAAGATCTGTAAAATAATTAAGTAAATAAGTACATGTGTACTTTTTTTTATTTTTTTATTTTTTTCCACAAAAAAAAAAAAAGGATA